GAAGCGATGCCAGCTGCACCGCGTTTCAGGGAAAGGTGTGTGGCTGTGCGTTAGTGGAACTGAAGCGTGTGTGATGTTAAAGGAACCGTTAGTTTCCAGAAAAAGAGTTTAAGGTTGCTTTGAAATAACTCCTATAGAAAAAAAACTACAACCGTTTATTCAGTCACTAATCTAAAAGCTATTCCTCAATCAATCAATCAAATTTTATTTCTAAAGCGCTTTTCAAACAAAGTGTTATTCAAAGTGCTTTACAAAATGACCCCAGATTCCCATAACAGGTTAAAAACATTAACAAACATATGCAATCACACGCACACACACACAGACTCACACACACACACGAGTAAAAATTATATTAGGCTGAGTCCAGATGAGCCAAGTATGGTAAGGCAAGGAAACGCCATCAGAGGAGCCGTCTGTCCCGGCAGCATCAGGTCTTCCACACTAAGTCAGGGCGCTCAGTGGAGGGGGGGCATAGACCCCCACCTATAGAGCGCCCAGGAAGCTACAGTCGACCACCGCTCCCGGGGCAGAGGGCCCCCACAGAGGAAACACTGGGTTAAAATGAGTAAAAATGTAATAAAAGAGCTAATATAAATGACAAAAATTAGAAAATAAGTAATAAATAAAATCATATAGACAGTAAAATAATAATTTAAATAATAAATCTGTGCTAAAATATAATCATATAGAACATGCAAAGCAAGTAATAAAATATAATCATGTAAAACGAGAAATAAAACTGTAGTAAATATTTAGATAAAAGCTAACCTAAAAAGACGGGTCTTGAGCCTTGACTTAAAAAAAAAAGACCCAAAGACTCGGCCATAAGCAGAAATATAACATATTATTATGATTTTTATGTCAAGAAAGATATTTTTTTGAAGATCTTAACCCTCTCAGTGTCAAAATAAGTGTTGATAAAAGAATGAACAACTAAGTCCTTCAGGGATACTTCTGAGTTAAGAAATGCTCATGAAGTACGTACGTGGAGTAACCAGGTGGGTTTTAACGTTGCACATCTGCAGCGTCTGCCTCCAGAGGGTTAACAAGCTATTTAACAGATTTTACAGAAACTCGATGATCGATTTTAAACTGTTTCTGTGTGTTTGTAGATCTACATCTGTGGTGGATTCAACGGACACGATTGCCTGCCGTCAGCAGAGTTTTACACACCAGAGACCGACCACTGGACGTTGATCCGCCCTATGAGCAGCCCGCGCAGTGGTGTCGGAGTCATGGCGTTTGCGGGTCGTGTTTATGCAGTAAGTGCTTTTCCTCCTTTCGTCCTCCATTCAGGCTCGCCTCCGTCTGCTTCACACACACACACAGCTACCCCCAGTCTTTCAGGCTGTCGTCGGATTTGGAATTACTGTCGTACAAAGCACACAGCCTGAAAATGCAGATTTTGAGTTTGGAGTTCAGTATTTTAGATGTTTTCTTTTATGAAAACGTCTAAAATAAACTTCTAAAAGATCAAATGCCACCAATCGGGTCAGACTAAATAGACTTTTACTCCCAACAGGTCGGCGGCTTTGACGGTACTGAACGTCTGCGCAGTGCTGAGGCCTACAATCCGCAAACCAATACTTGGGCGGCCGCGCCGCCCATGCTGACTCCACGCAGCAATTTTGGCCTGGAGGTGATTGAAGACAAGCTCATCGTTGTTGGAGGCTTCGATGGCTTCTCCACCACTTTCAATGCCGAGTTCTACAGCGCTACAACCAACCGGTGGACTAAAATCTGCAGCATGAACGTGTTCCGCAGCGCTTTGAGCTGCTGCGTGATATCTGGACTTACAAATATGGAGACTTATGCTTACCCTCGAGAACCTCTGTCTTCAGAAGAGGAAGAAGAGGAAGAGACAGTCTGAGAGTTCGATTCCACCCTTCAGAACCAATGGAACAGAAATAAACAACTTCTGTAGGAGACAATATTTTGAGTTCATTTGTAGTGAAAGTGGAGTTGGTTTGCATCCATCGGACAGTTAAACAGCTTTTGTTTATTACTCTTCTGTATGTTCTCTGTGCAATTATTTTCTCCTTATTTAACACAGTGAAGTAATTAGATGTTTCTTTACCTTCGGCTAACGTGTTTCGGCCAGAACTTCCACCTTCATCAGAGCCGCCAGCTACTCATCCGACATCCAACATGTAAACATCGTCCTTGGATCACACACGGGACTGTTATCAGCGGGACGGATGCGGGCAGCAGAGGGCGAGATCGTCCTTTGCTGCCCGCACATGAATGGAAGTGACACCGCCGACAGCCTGGAGGCTCTGATGAAGGCGGAAGTTCTGGCCGAAACATGTCAGCCCGAGGTGGAAAACATCTAATTACTTCACTGTGTTAAATAAGGAAAAAGAAGATAGCTTTTTCATTTATAAGTCTCTGGCTAGTGTGTGCTCAAACGACCCTTTACAGGGTTAACAAAAGGCCACCCAGCCCCTATCGCCCTCTGTTGCCAGAATAGTCCACTTGCAACTTCAGACTGGCGGGCCGCTCTGTTGGGAAACATAGAACTGACATACCTGGCACTGCAGTCTGCTTCCAGCACATTTCCAGCATGCTTTATCAAATCAAATCAAACTTTATTTGTATAGCATGTTTCATGCAAGCAACACAAAAGAACTAGAGATGTTTTGTAAAGAATGGTCCAAAATACCTTCAACCAGCATCCTGACTCTCACGGGAAGCTACAGGAAGCATTTAGAGGCTGTTCTTTCTGCAAAAGGAGGATCTTCTTAATGTTGAGTTCATTTCTTTTTTTGCACCTGGCTAATTTTGTTTAAACAATTATTACACACTTTCTGTAAATCATATGAACTTTATGTCACTTCTCAAATACCACTGTGGGTCTCCTGTATGCTACGTTTAGCGGAAAGAATGTTTCGTTACAACAAACGATTTATACAGGAAAATTGTGAAGCTGCCAGCTAGAAATGCTGGAGAAGTCACGGATGTTTGCCCACACGTTCCACGTGTGTTTTGTGGATCTTATTCAACTCATTTTATTTATGTGGCATCAAATCAGCACAGGGGTCATCTCAAGGCACTTCACAAAGTAGATTACATCAAGCCTCGTGTCAGAGACTTTGCAGAAATCCCCATACTGAGCAAGCATGTAGCGACAGTGGGGAGGAAAAGTCCCTTTAACTGGAAGAAACCTGCAGCAGAACCTGGTCCAGTATGAGCAGCCATCTGTCTTGGCTCACTGGGTATTTGAGAAGATTGCCCCCAAACACACTGAAATAAAGAAAATCTCGCTTTTAAGACTTTTTTCAAGTTGGGAGCCCTGAACATAGGCGCACGACAAACTAGCATATTTTACTACTCTTAAAAGTATTTTCTACAGCTTAGTTTTAGATGTGGAAAGCCAGCAGTTACTTGGCTATTTCGATTTTTAACCAAAACGCTCTTCCGGTGACGAGGAGAGCGTTTCAATCCATGGGTGCTTTTTTGAGCACAACACCGAACCAGCTCCCACTTTTTGGACTCCGCCCGTTATCAGCCCTCACGCCTCCAGTCCGGCTGTGTCCTCCTCCCCGTGCTCCTCCTCTTCACTCTCTTAAGCCTTCGACGAAAGTTTGGTGCTTAGAAATCTTTATTTGAATTTTAAAACCGATTTAAGTTGAGGGGGAGCGTATCATGTGAGGGTGTGTACAGGCGGAATGTCGGATTCATGCGGGAAGATGGACGTCCGCTAGTAGCAAACGGTAAGAGATGGAGCTTTTATCTTTTTTCTTTGTGACTGTTTCGGTATCATGAACATGGAAGCGAACACGAACGGAGGCGCACAGGAACGGGTCGGGTCTTTATAGGGAGAATATCATCTTAATATGTATGAAAATCGCGTTTTAAAGCGACGGCGGTGTGGAGCTATCGCCATTTTTAGCCCAAACTTTTCTAACGCAGGAATCTTTTCAAGCTAATGACGTCACGACGTCACAGTCGGAAAAAGTAAAAATAAATAAGTAAATGCAACTACGCAACCTGAATGAAGTCACGGTTATATATGAAATCTGATCATTTTTATACCTTCTTATGGTGTGACAGTATTTAATAGAACATTATTTTCATTAAAATGTGTGATTTTTTTTAACAATGTTAATTATATTAATCAGTTTGGATTACCATGACCTGGATGACTTCACCAGCTTAATTAAATTAGATTTATTAAAACGGCCTACATTTAGATATTTACTGGATATTCACAAAAAGTTTTATTTAGTCATAGCTTTTATTTTGTTGGGGTTTTTTTTATCCTCACAGCCTAAAGCACAAGTCGTAACTTTACGTTTGTCATCTGAATTTAACCAGCATCATCGAGGGCTCGGAATAACTCGCGATGTTTGCAAGTATCGCGAGATTTGACTTAAGATTCAAAAGTTTACTAAAAGTTTTGTTACGATAAATCGTTTTACCCAGTGTACAATACTGTTGTGTGTGTGTGTGTGTGTGTGTGTGTGTGTGTGTGTTTGTGAATGGAAACGGATGATGAATTTTAATTGTTTTCAATTTAATGACATCATTAAACTCTGGATGAGCAATAATAAACAATAGGATTTGACTTGGACGTGATTATAACTTGAAAAATATTTCTCACCGTTTTAAACTAGAGAGGGAGCAGCAAGCTCAATGGATGCTAAATATGTCAATTAAAAACATAACAAAGCTTTAATGCGTTTTAAATGTTTTTCTTTAAGTGAGTTCTCATCTGGTGTTGTTGACAAACATGTTTTGTTCAAATTAAATCAGCTAAATGTTTGTTTGTTTTACCAAACACTTGATTAATTTTGATTTAGGGTTTTCAATCTTTTGACTCTTCAACAAACTTCCCAGTGGTCTTAAAACTTATTCTAAATTTACCAGTTCTTAAATGCAAAATACTTTTAATTAGGAACAAAATCTAAATATAAAAAATAAACTGTAGCTTCCTGTGTGGGTTTGCCTCCTTCCTAGAAGCACAGGGTTAAATAATAGTGAGGTCATCTCAAATTAATTTCCACACCAAACAGTAAGCTGCTATTTCTGTTTTAATTAAAATGTTTTTTCTGGAGAGGAGGGTCCGATCGATAGTTGAATCTCAGATAGAGGAGGAGCAATGTGGTTTTCGTCCTGGCCGTGGAACTGTGGACCAGCTCTATACCCTTGCAAGGGTGATGGAGGGGGCATGGGAGTTTGCCCAACCAATCCACATGTGCTTTGTGGATTTGGAGAAGGCTTATGACCGTGTCCCCAGGGGCACCCTGTGGGGGACGCTCCAGGAGTATGGGGTGGGTGGCTTTCTGTTAAGGGCCATTCAGTCCCTTTACCAGAGGAGCGTGAGTTTGGTCCGCATAGCCGGTAGTAAGTCGGACCTGTTCCCAGTGAGGGTTGGACTCCGCCAGGGCTGCCCTTTGTCACCGGTTCTGTTCATCACTTTTATGGACAGAATTTCTAGACGCAGCCGTGGTGTGGAGTGTGTCGAGTTTGGTGGCAGGAGAATCTCGTCTCTGCTTTTTGCGGATGATGTGGTCCTCCTAGCTTCATCCAGCTCTGACCTTCAGCTCTTGCTGGGTAGGTTCGCGGCCGAATGTGAAGCGGCTGGGATGAGGATCAGCACCTCCAAATCTGAGACCATGGTTCTCGACCGGAAAAGGGTGGCTTGCCACCTCCGGGTCGGGGGAGAGGTCCTACCTCAAGTGGAGGAGTTTAAGTATCTCGGGGTCTTGTTCACGAGTGAGGGTAGGAGGGATCGGGAGATCGACAGGCGGATTGGTTCGGCGTCTGCAGTGATGCGGACGCTGAGCCGATCTGTCGTGGTGAAGAGGGAGCTGAGCCAGAAAGCCAGGCTCTCGATTTACCGGTCGATCTACGTCCCAATCCTCACCTATGGTCATGAGCTTTGGGTAATGACCGAAAGAACGAGATCGCGGATACAAGCGGCCGAAATGAGTTTCCTCCGTAGGGTGGCCGGGCTCAGCCTTAGAGATAGGGTGAGGAGCTCGGACATTCGGGAGGGACTCGGAGTAGAACCGCTGCTCCTCCGGATCGAAAGGAGCCAGTTGAGGTGGTTTGGGCATCTGGTCAGGATGCCTCCTGGACGCCTCCCCGGGGAGGTGTTTCGGGCATGTCCTGCCGGCAGAAGGCCCCCGGGTCGACCCAGGACACGTTGGAGAGGTTACATCTCCAATCTGGTCCGGGAACGCCTTGGGGTCCTGCCGGAGGAGCTGGTGGACAAGGCCGGGGAGAGGACGGCCTGGAGCTCCCTAATTGGGATGCTGCCCCCGCGACCCGGACCCGGATAAGCGGAGGAAGACGAAGAACGAAGACGAAGTTTTTTCATGTCATAAAATACTCATTTGTACGTTTGCAGATGTCTGCTTAATCAAATGCTGTTTTACAGATTCATCATCAGAGCTGCTGTTTTCCTGCTAGAAGTGGTGAGTTTGTCTCCTTCCTGTCGTGGTGTGGCTCCTTTAAAACCAAGCTAAATGTGAGCTTTTCTGATTAAGCTAGCTTTTTTTTTATTTGGCTCCATGCCTGAGGACTGATAAACGTAGCAGTTTGTTTTTTTGTGCCATCACTGCCGAAACTCCACCAGCCAGTTCTCATAGTTTGGTTTTGTTTGCAGATCCTTGCTGTTGAGCCATGGCTCGTGGCTGCATCTGCTGTGTGAAGTACATGCTCTTCCTCTTCAACCTGCTCTTCTGGGTAACTCCTCCCGTGATTCTGTGACAGAAATACTTTAGTATTTAAAAGGGAATGACTTTGTATTTTACCACTCCAGACATTTGTTCCCAGTAAATATCAACTTGGCAGATGATCAGATGGAGGATGTCTCCTGGGTCTGTGTGGAATTACTTCCTGTTGTTGTTTGTTTTAGACATTAGTTCAGATTCTAATCCTAGTGAAGTAGTTTTAATATCCTCAAATCATCCGCCCCCCTCCGCTCCATCGTGATACCAGCCTAAAGCCTGGTTCATGCTTCTCCGTCAGCTCCGCAGGGGACAGACACGCACGGATTGACGGAAGCGTTTTGCCCTCATACTTCTCCGTCTCCTGGAGAGTGTTGCAAAGCAATTCCCCGGCAGGACAGCAGAGGGCGTAGCGCTGTTCTGTGGTATCCTGTCATGTATCGGTCCAAGATCGGGTGTTTATATTGTGTTTTTTGTATATAAGAGACTTTTAACACGGACATATTTGTCTCTCATTCTCCCACCGCTTCATGCGCTCGCCACCTCTAAACCCACGTTTCCTGTCATTTCCGTCCACAAATAAAACGCTTGCTGCGCATCTTTTCACTCCTCCAGTCACGGGAGGATGAAACGTTCATATCAAGCTTCTCCGTGTCTGCCGCTAGTTATCCTCGGCTCTCTTTGCAATGGCGGCGCTGTAAACAACAGCGGCGTCCTGACCAATCACAAGCTTGCGTAATCCGTCTCGTTCGACGGATGTTTAAAAAAGTGGGCTCGACTCCGTACGTACTTGCGTGCCTGCCGGAGCCCTACGCGAGGACGGATAATGGCGTTGCGTGTCTCCGCACTGACGCAGACGGAGAAGCATAAATCAGGCTTTAGGGAAGCTCCCTGCCTGTTTAAAAACGATACTAGGCAGTTTTACTGGCTTTTAGCACCCCTTATCAGGGGTGGACATTAACTTCAAAACCAACCGGCCAGCCGGGCCGGTAACTCTGAATATTTACCGGCCCCACTGGTCAGCTGCCAAAATGAGTCAAAATAACAACTGAACCGTTTTAAATGTAATAAACCTTTATTTTGTACACATTCACAAACATAATAACGTATTCAAGTTTGAATTTGTTTGTTTCAGCTGCTCTCTCTCTCTCTCTCTCTCTCTCACTCACTCACACACACACACACACACACACACACACACACACACACACACACACACACACACACACACACAGAGGAAAGGCAGAGGAAATGGAGGACACCAAGTAGTTAAAAGAAAAACTACAGCTGAGCCGAGGCGCGTCTGATCTGAACTGAGGAGCGGCGAGCAGCGGCCGGACTTCGTGAGCGATTCGCTTCTCGGCGCTTCCGCGGCCGGTGTGTCCCCGGCGTTAAACGCCGGCTTTCAGCCACTCCCCCCGCTGCTTCCGTCTGCTCTCTTCTGTTTTCCAGGCGAGGCGCTGCTCAACTCAAAAACGGCCATTCTCTGCGCCTCCCGTCTTCTTTAAACCGCCAAGAATCATTCCACCTACGCACACGCTTCTCTGCTTCATACCGTTTCGAACTGTCTCGCTTCTCCTCAACAGTTTTAAAGCGTTTTGCCGGAGATTTCATCAAGAAATCCCATCCCTGTGGTGGCGGCATCTCCCTGCGTGCTTGTGTGTTTCTAGCGTGGTTCCACTTCGTCTTTAATAGTGAACTTATAGTTCACGTGACTATAACTAGAATTGTGCAGTACGTGCACGAATCGTACAAGTGCAGTACGTGGCTAGAGGCGCGCAGGTTCACGCGCGCCAAACGAAAACGGCAGCTTCCTACAGGGCGGGGCCATGATGTAGGTGAAAGCCGGTGTGTAAATGACAAATAAGGCTTGGGCGCCACCCGGGCGGTAAGTCGTCAAGTATTTACCGCCCGACGAGAAAATTTAGCGCCATTGGCGCTCGGGCGCTTTAAAGGTCCACCCCTGCCTTAGTGTCCGTTCTAAAGTCCTTGTGGTTATACCAGACATGAAACTTGTCTCCTTGCTGTGCGTTTGTCTTTTCAACCTAATCTAACCACTGGAATGTCTCCTCAGCCTTCATCAGTTTCTAGAGGAGTGATTCGTCACTAAAATCAAACAAATCAGCTGTGTTCATGATCTGAATCGTACTGGAAGCAGACTGCAGCTCCTTCCACCAACAGGGACCAGACGGTGTGGTATTCTGGCCACAGTGAGGTCTGGGTGACATTTCAGCACATAAATGAAAAAAGTTGCAGAGTGTATGGATGATAGTGTCCCTTAAACAGTGGTGCAGCTCAGGTCTGTCAGTGAAATCTTAACAGCAGGCGCTTTTTTTAAACGTTCAGGCCCTAAAACCAAACTGTGGACCAACTCTTTACCCTTGCTAGGGTGGTGTGTGTGTGTGTGTGTGTGCGTGTGTGTGTGCGTTGTGCGTGTGTGTGTGCGTGTGTGTGCGTGCTCTGTCTTCTCGATCCCCAGTGAGTCGTGGTGGATGGCTGCTTATACTGAGCCAGGATTCTCTGGAGGTTTCTTCCTGTTAAAAGGGAGTTTTCCTCTCCACTGTCGCTGCATGCTTGCTTAGTATGAGGATTGCTGTATAGTCACTGACACTAGTCAGTGACTCGATGCAACCTGCTGAGTTCCTTATATAGGAAACATTATTTCTGATTGGCTTAATGAACTGACCTGAATTGGAATGTTTATTATGTGAAGTGCCTTGAGACGACTCTTGTCGTGATTTGGCGCTTTATAAATAAACTTGAATTGAATTGTACTGAATTGATGGAGGGGGCGTGGGAGTTTGCCCAACCAACCCACGTGTTTTGTGGATTTGGAGAAGGCGTATGACCGTGTCCTCCAGGAGTATGGGGTGGATGGTCTTTTGCTGAGGGCCATTCAGTCCCTGTAGTGGAGGAGTGAGTCTGGTCCACATAGCCGGCTGTAAGTCGGACCTGTTCCCAGTGAGGCTTGGACTCCGCCAGGGCTGCCCTTGGTCACTTGTGCTGTTCATAATGTTGACAGACAGGATTTCTAGGTGCAGCCGTGGTGTTGAGGGTGTGGAGTTTGGTGCTTTGTGCGGATGATGTGGTCCTCCTAGCTTCATCAGGCTCTGACCTACAGCGCTTGCTGGGGAGGTTCGCAGCTGAGTGTGAAGTGGCTGGGATGAGGATCAGCACCTCCAAGTCTGAGACCATGGTCCTCGACCGGAAAGGGGCGGCTTGCCAACTCCGGGTTGAGAGACAGGTCCTGCCTCAAGTGGAGGAGTTCAAGTGTCTCGGGGTCTTGTTCACGAGTGAGGGAAGGAGAGCGCGGGCGATAGACAGGCGGTTTTGGGGCAGTGCTGCAGGCGCTGAACCGGTCGGTCGTGGTGAAGGAGCTGAGCCGCAACCCAGAGAGGCGGAAGGAGACAAACTAGACTAAAAGTGAAAGACAAATCACATCCAGAACTCTGACTCTCAGCTCCGTAAACCAGCTAGATCCTTCTGACTGAGTCAGCCGTCTTGTGTTTCAGCTGGGCGGCTGCGGATTGTTGGGGGTCGGTTTGTGGCTTTCGGTGTCCCAGGGCAGCTTTGCCACCCTGTCACCCTCCTTTCCTTCGCTCTCTGCCGCCAACCTCATCATCACCCTTGGCACCGTTGTCATGGTGACGGGTTTTCTGGGCTGTCTGGGCGCCATCAAGGAGAACAAGTGCCTGCTGCTGAGTGTAAGTAAACTTCAGTACCCATAATTCCTCCAAGAGCATTAGTGATGTGCATCTTTGTTTGGTTTGAACCAGTTCTTCATAGTGCTGTTGATCATCCTGTTGGCTGAACTCATCCTCCTCATCCTCTTCTTCGTCTACACAGACAAGGTAAGGCTCTCTGTTGGATTAATACAGGGATGAAGCAAAAAATCCTCATCTGACTGAAAATTATTGTGTGTGTGTGTAGAGGGGGGGGGGGGCTCACATTGTTTACATGCATCCAGTATTCGGGTTTTGATTGGTTTTAAGGTCAGAAATCTTGTTTCTGAAAAACGTGGAATAACCCGTTCACACACAGTGTTTACCAGTGTGGGTGTTGAGATTTCTCTGAGGTAAAAAAAAATATATATATATATATACCTGCAGGGCTTTAGGCCCAGGGCAGAGTTTTAGACCTCAGAGCAGCTTTAGATCATGACCTGTTATTAATTATATCATGTTCTTTACACCAATCTGAATTAGGGTTGTCACGGTAACCGGTGTAGCGGTAAACCCCGGTAAAAAAAATAAAGTTGACAATAATAACCGTCTTGTTTTTTTAAAACTATATTATCTCGGTGGGTTTACCGTGGCTGCGGTGTAGGCGCGGTGACCCTTACCAGCCACCGTATCATCTGCTGAAGTTGCCGGCGGCACATGCGCACTTTGTTGTTTACAACCAAAACTTTCTTGAAGCTAAAGCTGAAATAATGGCTAAAGGAGGAGACGGCAGCGCTCAGGACATTTATTATCCCTCAAAGAAGACAAAGTGGGAAGTACGGGCATCTTTTGGATATCTGAAGAATGCCGAGGGACAGCTGATAGAAGACGGCTATCCTGTTTGCAGCACGTGCAGAAAAAGTGTCTGTGAAAGGCAGCAACGCTTCAAATCTCATGACACATCTGCGTGACCATCACCCACAACTCTACAGTCAACGCAAGGCAAGCTAACGTTAGCGTTTTAGCTAAAATGCGTGATCCGAGGATTTGGGTTGAGGGAGAATGCAACGAGTCGCTATATAAAGCAGCCGCAGCGCCGCTACCTGCATATAAACCGTGTCACGGACACCGCCATGTTGAAATGACGCTATGCATTACGGGGCTCCCAGGGGCAGATAAGAGTTGGTCTCTCTCCGAGAATAATTATGAATTTAACAACGATTACTGCCTGATGACATTTTCCCACATCTGCAAAGCTCACTGGAAGGACACAAACCGAGGACAATATTCTCCTGATATAGGGTTTATTACTCAAGTAAGGGTAAAAAAGTATCTGATTAGAAGTCTACTTGAGTACTGAGTATCATCTGATTGAATATTTTTAAATGATGACATCAAACAGACAAAAAATAAGAAGTTATGGGCAAATATTGGTATTTTAAAGACTAAAGGGGAAAAATGTAAACAACATAATTACAAAATAACACATTTTAGGCTAAATTTAGACACAAACTGAGGACAAAATTTCCTGACATACAGGGTTTATTTAATTGTGTGAAAATGTAGCAAGTTTAAAAAAAATACCGCGATAATACCGAAAACCGTGATAATTTTAGTCACAATAACCGTGAGGTTAAACTTTCACACCGTGACAACCCTACTCTGAATATTCTGTAATGTTCACAGACATCCAAACCTTAGAAATGAAATATAATCAATATTAAAATAAAAATATTAATATAACTTTTTCATTAAGATTAGTTATGTTTCTTTACATTTGATAGTAATATGATTAATATTTAATCTTGTATCATTTGTGGGTTTAGTGCATTCACTAATATTAATTATAAAATTATAACGGGTCACGAGTCTGGGCGTAGAAAGTGTTTCTAGGAACTAACGCTCATTCAGCAGCTCACCTGTTCCACTGACAGGTGAAATCCTCTCATCAGCAGAGCGTCATGACCGAAAAAACACCGACCTCAGGTCGGCCCACCGGGTATTTGGGTCCTGGTTCCGCTCATCACGTTAACCGTCGTTGTGATATCAGAGCTTTATTGGCTCTGTTAGAATTCCAACGCCCGGTGCGCACCGCGGGAGCGAGAAGTGAGCGTGTGCTTCTTTGCAGCTTGGGCGGTGCAGAACGGTGTTTCAACAACACCGGTGCACGTTTCAGACACAGAGAGGTTTTATTGAATGGCCTGTATTTGATATAGCACCTTCTAGAGTCCTGGAACCCCCCAAGGTGCTTTACAACACAGTCATTCACCCATTCACACACAGGTGGGGATGAGCTACGATGTAGCCACAGCTGCTCTGGGGCGCACTGAAAGAGGCGAGCCTGCCGAGCACAGGCGCCACCGGTCCCTCCGAACACCACCAGCAGGCAAGGTGTGTTAAGTGTCTTGCCCAAGGACACAACGACAGCGACAGACTGAGCGGGGCTCGAACCTGCAACCTTCTGATTATGGGGCGAGCGCTTAACTCCTGTGCCACCGTCGCCCACTTATTCAAACTGACGGATTTCCGTCCCTGGATTAATATTAAACTCGTGTTTTTGTGGCCATCCCACTTTTCTTTTTTTCTCCAGGTGGGTGAAAACGCCAGACGGGACCTGAGAGAAGGTTTGCTTCTGTTCAACACCGACAACAACGCCGGCCTGAGGGATGCGTGGAACGCCATTCAGAGAGATGTCAGACCCAACAAAAGAGAAACTTTTCTTTATTTTGGCAGATTACAAATAACTTGATTTCTGCTCGTCCCCAGTGGAAGTGCTGTGGTGTGGTGAACCAGCACGACTGGCACACGGCCCTGCACGAGAACGTCCTTCCTGACAGCTGCTGCCAGCAGGTCCATCCTGGCTGTGGACGAAACGCCTCCAGCACCTCCTGGACAAGAGTGAGTCAGGAGAAAAGTTTTAACTTCATAAACGACTTTCAGATATGCAAATCCACTCTTAAAATCTGGAATTTTATCTGGTTGGAAGGAAACAAATCACAGCAACACTTAAAAAACGTTGAATTAGCTGCTCTGCATAAGTATTATTTAGTGATTGAATCATGGTTAAACCTAGGGCTGCACAATATATCGCAAAATTATCGTCATCGGGATAACAGGTCGTGCGATAGGCCCATCGCAAAGGGATGGTAAGGGATGTTTTTCTGTATTTGGAGCATCAGAAAAAGTTTTATGGTGGAGGTGATGTTTTAAAGTCACTGAGAAACTGCATGCATGCAGTTTGTTGTTTTGCTGCTAATACAGTAGCAGGTGCAGCTGCTAATACAGTAGCAGGTACAGCTGCTACTGCATTAGCAGGTGTAGCTGCTAATACAGTAGCGGGTGTAGCTGCTAATACAGTAGCAGGTGCAGCTGCTACTGCATTAGCGGGTGTAGCTGCTAATACAGTAGCGGGTGTAGCTGCTACTGCATTAGCAGGTGTAGCTGCTAATACAGTAGCGGGTGCAGCTGCTAATGCGGTAGCGGGTGCAGCTGCTAATACAGTAGCAGGTGTAGCTGCTAATGCAGTAGCGGGTGCAGCTGCTAATGCAGTAGCAGGTGTAGCTGCTAATACAGTAGCAGGTACAGCTGCTACTGCATTAGCAGGTGTAGCTGCTAATACAGTAGCAAGTGTAGCTGCTAATACAGTAGCAGGTACAGCTACTACTGCATTAGCAGGTGTAGCTGCTAATAAAGTAGCAAGTGTAGCTGCTAATACAGTAGCAGCTACACCCGCTACTGTATTAGCAGCTACACCCGCTAATGCAGTAGCAGCTGCACCTGCTACTGTATTAGCAGCTACACCTGCTAATGCAGTAGCAGCTGTACCTGCTACTGTATTAGCAGCTGCAGCTACACCTGCTAATGCAGTAGCAGCTGCACCCGCTACTGTACTAGCAGCTGCACCTGCTACTGTATTAACAGGTACAGCTGCTATTGCATTAGCGGGTGCAGCTGCTAATACAGTAGCAGGTACAGCTGCTACTGCATTAGCAGGTGTAGCTTATAATACAGTAGCAGCTACACCCGCTACTGTATTAGCAGCTGCACATGCTACTGTATTAGCAGCTACACCTGCTAATGCAGTAGCATGTGCATCTGCTACTGTATTAGCAGCTGCAGCTACACCTGCTAATGCAGTAGCAGCTGCACCCGCTACTGTACTAGCAGCTGCACCTGCTACTGTATTAGCAGGTACAGCTGCTACTGCATTAGCGGGTGCAGCTGCTAATACAGTAGCAGGTGTAGCTGCTACTGCATTAGCAGGTGTAACTGCTAATGCGGTAGCAGGTGTAGCTGCTAATGCAGTAGCGGGTGCAGCTGCTAATGCAGTAGCAGGTGTAGCTGCTAATACAGTAGCAGGTACAGCTGCTACTGCATTAGCAAGTGTAGCTGCTAATACAGTAGCAGCTACACCCGCTACTGTATTAGCAGCTGCACATGCTACTGTATTAGCAGCTACACCTGCTAATGCAGTAGCAGCTGCACCTGCTACTGTATTAGCAGCTGCAGCTACACCTGCTAATGCAGTAGCAGCTGCACCTGCTACTGTATTAGCGGCTACACCTGCTACTGCATTAGCAGGTACAGCTGCTACTGCATTAGCAGCTGTAGCTGCTACTATATTAGCAGCTACACCTGCTAATGCATTAGCAGCTGTACCTGCTAATGCAGTAGCGGGTGTAGCTGCTAATACAGTAGCGGGTGCAGCTGCTACTGCATTAGCGGGTGTAGCAGCTAATACAGTAGCGGGTGTAGCTGCTACTGCATTAGCAGGTGTAGCTGCTAATGCAGTAGCGGGTGCAGCTGCTAATGCAGTAGCAGGTGTAGCTGCTAATACAGTAGCAGGTACAGCTGCTACTGCATTAGCAAGTGTAGCTGCTAATACAGTAGCAAGTGTAGCTGCTAATACAGTAGCAGCTACACCCGCTAATGCAGTAGCAGCTGTACCTGCTACTGCATTAGCACCTGCTACTGCATTAGCACCTGCTACTGCATTAGCAGGTGCACATGCTACAGCATTAGCAGCTGTACCTGCTACTGTATTAGCAGCTGCTACTGTATTAGCAGCTACACCTGCTAATGCAGTAGCAGCTGCACCTGCTACTGTATTAGCAGCTGCAGCTACACCTGCTAATGCAGTAGCAGCTGTACCTGCTACTGCATTAGCAGGTGCACATGCTAATACAGTAGCAGCTGCACCTGCTACTGCATTAGCAGCTGTAGCTGCTAATACAGTAGCGGGTGCAGCTGCTAATACAGTAGCGGGTGCAGCTGCAGCTGCTAATATAGTAGCAGGTGTAGTTGCATGTTTTTGCAATAAAAATGTTATGTTGTAATGGAATTCATGCATTAGTTTTTGTTTGCTTTGAACCCAGACCAGACATCACACGCCAGACGACATCAACACTGCATACTTTAGTATTTGTTCATTTATCGTGAGTAATATCGATATCGCAATATTAAGCACCGTTATCGAATATCGCAGGTTTTCCTAATATCGTGCAGCCCTAGTTAAAACATGCTAAAGACCGGCCCTCTGGTCCAGGATTAAGAACTACTTCCTGTAGTAATGCCACCGACCCTCTAATCAGAGGAACTAGATTTTGATACCTGACCCTCATCAGACCCTGGTGTTTGTGTTTCCAGGGTTGTTATGACAAAGTAGAGGAGTGGGTAGATGATAACAAACACCTGCTGGGAACTATCGCTATGTGTGTGTTAGTCATGCAGGTGAGTATCTCCTCCTCACCTGGATTTAAACTATATTTAGTGCCATTTACCAACCTCTGACGTTTGTTTCTTCCCTCTTGCAGCTCCTTGGTATGGCATTCTCCATGACACTCTATCAACAAATCCACCGAGCAGGAAAGAAGTACAAAGCCTGATAGACCTAACATAGTCTCAGAGGAGATTGGTGGGGAGCATCTGCCAACTCTGGCATGTTGGCTACTCCCTTCACAATAAGAGTCTAAAGCTTGGTTTATGCTTGACGCGTTCACTTTCCGCTTGGTGATGCGGCTCGCGGATGGAACGCGCTTCACAACTTGCAGCGTTTATGGTTCATGCGGCTCGTCTCTGCGGTGAGCCAATATTCTCCCAAACTGTAGGGGGCAGCATGGAGCTCTACGGCATGCATCCAACACTACACCACAGTAAAAGTAGAAATGACTGTTTACAACATGGCATTCCAGCATTTTTAACAGCGTCCTCGTCTTTTCCGACAGTGCGAGCTATTTCTCTCCAAGAATTATTAACAACATGTTGATCACGGTGATCTCTGAGAGCTGAATCATACAAATGTCTGTATTTACCAACCTCTGCCATACTAGTTCTTGCCGGTCCGCCATGTTTTTCCGTGTTCGACCGTCCGCGTGGATAGAAAATTTCCTAGGTGCGCGGTGCGGAAAGTTTGGGCCGTTCGGAAGCGCGGTGGAGGGGCGTGGTTGTTAAAATGACGCCATTTTACCACGCAGACCTCGCGGACGCGTCAAGCCCAAACCAAGCGTAAGACACGTAAAGCCTATAGAATCCCCCGAACCCTGGGTAGTTTACTTTAATCAACCCCCCCACAGAGGGGCACTGGTACATCTTATTAAACATTTAAATATCCGTTAGCGATGATAACAATAATCTATGCACTCTGTTACTGTTGTGAATAGCTTTAGTTTTTTTTTACAATAAGCCTCAATTAGCAAATGATCTGATGTCTATATGAGAACAATTTAATAGATTTGGTTTAAAATACTGTGGAAAGTTTAGATACGTGTTGTATTTTAACATTTTTAATAAAGTTTTCTCAAACATGAAAATGGTTTACCTTCCTCTGACTTCAGAGCCAGAAGGTCAGGGGTCAAAACGAATGTTTGGACCATATTTGAAGAGCTACAAAGTAATCGTGTGTTTCAACTCAACAGCAGGTTGTTCTCCCACCTTCACAAGTCCATGACTCTGTCGTTGTCGTAGACGACGCTGCCTTTGATGATGACGTAACGGATCGTCTCCTGGTGTCCCCCCAGCTGGTAGATCAGGTGCTCCCATCTGCAGAACGAGATTTAAGTTCTTAGGTTGAGCCACTGATCTTCACGTCTGACACCATCGGGGGTTTTCGTTACCGCGTGGCGTTGAGGATGAGCAGGTCTCCGTGTTTGTTGACCTCCAGGGATCCGTGTGTGTGAGAGCGACCCAGAGCAAAAGCTGCGTTGATGGTGGCTGCAGCCAAAGCCTCGGACATGGACATCCTCATGTTGACGCAGGCGAGGTGCATAACGATGGGCTGTGAACACAAGGAGGATGACATCAGGGTCCGGCAGACAGGAAGAAACCGGTTTAAGGATTTCTACTTCCTGCTGTACCCACCATGGAGCAGCAGTACGCGTTGGGGTTGAAATCGCTGCCGAGGGCAACAATGACTCCTGCATCCAGCATGTCTCTGGCCCGAGGCTGAGGCAAACTAGGTCACAAACACGCATTACTCTACAGTCTGCAGCTATAAAGTGTGTGTGTGTGTGTTTCCCAACCCTGGTCCTCAAGGCTCACTGTCCTGCATGTTTCCATTTTGCCCTTTTAAACACCCGTGTTCCCCTGCTGCCACACGCCAGGTTCAAATGAATGAGTGATTAACAGGCATCTGCAGCACTTGGTGTCCTCCTGGGGAGCCAGTGGAAGTCATCCAGGTCGGTGTGCCCTGAGGACCAGGGTTGGGAGATGCTGTGTTACAGTACCGGAGGATGTAAGCTGTGGTCGGCAGAAGAACAGCAGCTGTTTTTGCTTTCGCCATGGCAACAATTCCTTCATCTGTGACTTCTTCAAGATGGCTGACAGCCAAAGCTCCGAGCTCTGCTCCCAACTGACAGACACACGTTCACCACTAAGAATGTGTAGGATTGTGTAATTGTTGCATCATGCATGCTGGGAATGTATTCCAGTAGTTGTGGACCGTTAGTTCAGCAGATCTAAGATTCCTTAGGGTGCTGGGCGTGAACAATACCTGAGCAGAGTTCATGGGGTGGAGCTCGTCTCCGTGGAAGTTGATGTTGAGGCCCATTTCTTTCCCAGCTTCCAGGATGGAGCGAGTGGAGTCCAGGTCAAACACGCCCTGCTCACAGAACACATCGATGTTGCAGACTCTGAGTTTCCCAGCAGACATCAGCTCCTTCAGCCGGGGCAGCTGGACCAGCAGGATGTCCTCAGTGGCTTCTGCTGCCGTCTTCCCTCTGGGGGGAAAAAGGACAAGATGCAAGTCGCAGCGATGTTTTTTTTAAAGATTTAAACACCAACAGTAGATGTTTCTCACTTGGGAACTGCATGAGCTCCACAGTAAGTGGAGGAGATGTTGATGGGCAGGGAGCACCTAGCCTCCTCGATCACCTCCAGCATCTTAATCTCCGTCTGCAGCTCCAGGCCGTAGCCACTTTTACACTCGACCAGGGTGGTTCCCGCTCGCTGCAGTCGCATCAACCTGCTCCTCAGGGAGGCCAGAAGGTCCGAGGGGGCGGCGGCTCGAGTGTGTTCGACCGTGAAGTGGATCCCTCCGCCAGCGCGGTGCACGTCCATGTAGGTGGCCCCAGCCAGCTGCGGGAGGAGAATCGGACTCATCGTTTAAACTAAACCAGTTAAAATAATCCACACAAATGAGCTACCTTCATTGCAAACTCGTGGACCCTGTCTCCAGCCCAGACGGGATGAGTGTGAGCATCCACCAGCCCTGAAACACACGTCACCATCAGATCACCCAAACACTAATCTCATCTGGATTCACAAACAAGCAGCAAGGATCAACCAGTTTTACGTTGCTTCTTTAAAAACGGTCATTTTAAGGGTTTTAAAAAGGGGGACGTGAATCTTAGAGCAACTCACGATTTGATTAGATTCCAATTCTTGGGGTGCCGATTCGATTCAGAATCGATTCTCAATTTAAATCGATTCACAATCAGTATTAACAAAGAGCGTCAGCTCCAGGATGAACAAGTTAGTTAAAGCTATGGGACGTTTTTATTTGACTTTAAACTGGTCATGCTCCAAAAATGCTAATTTACAAGGTAAACTAAAGTGATTCTAAAACTGTAAACAGAAACAATCTTTTGACCAAAAGGCAACATTCAGCCTTAGAGATAGGGTGAGGAGCTCGGACATTCGGGAGGGACTCGGAGTAGAACCGCTGCTCCTCCGGATCGAAAGGAGTCAGTTGAGGTGGTTTGGGCATCTGGTCAGGATGCCTCCTGGACGCCTCCCCGGGGAGGTGTTTCGGGCATGTCCTGCCGGCAGGAGGCCCCCGGGTCGACCCAGGACACGTTGGAGAGGTTACATCTCCAATCTGCTCCGGGAACGCCTTGGGGTCCTGCCGGAGCTGCTGGTGAAGGTGGCCGGGGAGAGGACGGTCTGGAGCTCCCTAGTTGGGATGCTGCCCCCGCGGCCCGGATAAGCAGAGGAAGACGACGACAACAACATTTATTTTTGCTTACCTTGTAAAATATAACAAATCTGTAGTTACCTAACAGCAGCTTTGAAAGTAATATGGTCAAATACTTTTCAAGTATCTGTGGAAACAAGTTACACGAGTAATCCTGAGTACTCGTTTATCAACTTAGAAAATAAATATGAGAATATCTCAAATTTCTGAGTATGGAAAAAATGACATTCAAGCGCCCTCTTATCAGCAGATTCAAACATAAATCATCTCAATTTATGGGACCACAAAAGTAATCTGAGTACTGACTCTCCTAACAAAGACCAAAAAAGTGCATCTCAGACCCGTAACGTGCCAAATATTTGAGTTCTTTGAATCGATTCTGAATCTTTATAAATAAGAATCCCGATTCAGACTTGAATCGATTTTTTTCAGCACCTCCAGTTTTAAACCAGATACCGATTTTTAAATGAATCTAAAAAACATAAAAAACAAATAAGTTCTTTTTTCTTTTTTTTTTTAACTGATAAACGTTAAACTAGTTTTCAGGGCGAAACAAGCTAAACCTGATGTATAGAATTATAATACACAATATCTCATCTATCTTCATCATATAATTATAATTATGGCGATTCATTAGTTTATTTGAAGCATTTTAAGGAGGCCTCTTGAAACTGAATCGGAGGCATGAATGTTTAACCATCCCACATCCCGAACCAGTTTAATTTAATCTGACTGTAAAATACAAATGGATCATTTTACCCTCAAGTTCCTGATTAATGAGCTTGATGACAGGAAGAACTGTTTTGTTTGCAGCTGAAAATAGGGTAACTGAAGTAGATGTTCATCAGATGATGTAACAGTGGTCAGATAAACATAAACAGTGTGGGAACAACTGAAAACACGCACAGGAAGTACAGAAGTCGGGTTAAATTCCAAAAGTCTTGTTTGTGAGCTGAAATCAGCTGATACTCACCGGGAAGGACACACATGTCCGTGGCATCGATCACTCGATCAAAGGACGACTCTGAATACTGAGCTCTGATGGCTTCTGCAGACCCTACAGCTTTAATCAGCCCATCACTGGATGAAACAGGAACATGTTAATTACAGCGTTAACTAAAATATAAACAATTAAATAAGCAGCGTGAAATCAGATTTTAATAACTGTAGGTGCAACCAGCCACTTCATCCTGAAGAGGGCGCCACTGGAAAGAAGCTGGAGCATCATCCTCCCTCAAACATCACAAATAAACGTGAATCAAGTTTGTTCAGTTTGAAATAGGGATGGACAATATATCAGCATCAATATTGGTATCGGCAGATGTTAGTCATTACTTAACACATCGGTATCGGTCCGACATGTAAAACTGGGCCGATTTTAACAAGCATGTGTTTGTTTCAGAGGGTGAGGGGCGATGTGTATTTGTTTAGTCATGTGACAGTGGATGTAATCATCTCGAAATCGTAAATGTGTGTGATGTGCGTGCTTTACGTAAATTTAGCTTCAATAGTTTTTCTTTACTAAATCTGCTGCTTTTAGACGCATATATCCGGAACTGCGCTGCTCTGGGTGGCTGCATGTTGGAGTAGCTCTGTTGACTATATGTAAGTTTTGCCTTTTCTTGGACATTTTTTCTTCTAGTTTCTCAAGAAAAACTGTATTTTTTGGACACTTTACTTTTCTGTTTCTGGTGCTGTGAAGCTTGGAGGATTTTTACTGCTATTTTTTTTTAGCTTTTTTCACTTTTTGAGCATTTGTTATGTGTAACCATGGCAACAAGCTGGTTTACAATTGGGAGCAGCTGATTAACATTGGAAAGGCTGAAATAATACCTCAACTGAAGCCACAAATCCTAAATGAGCTAAAACGCAAGAAGCGTGGGTGAAGAGCGGGAGCAGGACGGAAAAAGAGGAAATTCAGACCATCTCTTCCATCGATCATAACGGGCGATGTGAGATCACTGGCCAACAAGATGGAGGAACTCCAAGCCCTTTCAAGGACTCAGCCAGAGTTTCGGCAGTTTCAGAACCGCTGGAGGAGATCATGCAAAGAAGGATTCTCCAGAGAATCAAGAACATGATGGACAACCCTGAGCATTCTCTTCACAAGACTGTCCGACAACGGAAGAGTGTCTTCAGTCAGAGGCTTCTTCAGTTTGGCTGCAACACTGACCGCTACTGGAGATCCTTCCTGCCAACAGCCATTGTAATATACAACAACTCTTTGATGACTTGATTATTATTATTATTATTCTGAGCTACTACAGCAATCAGTTTCCCTCTGGGATTAATAAAGTACTTTTGAATTGAATTAATGTCAGTATGTCGGTATCGGCACATATCGGTTGTCGGCAATAACACTGATCTTAATATCGGTGCATCCCTAGCATAAAATCTAATAAATGTGTTTTATGTACAAAAATATTCAGACTTACCTTCCAATAACAACGCTGCCATCTTCAATCACGCAGAGATTGTTCATACTTTGCTTTGTCAGGTACTTTTCTCCGTTGTTGCAGATTAAAACCACCTGTTTGGCATTTTTCACCAACAGCCTGTCATTTCTGGACATTTTTACTCGTCGTGAGCAGCGAGTTTGAAAGTGAACCAGTAGCTGGAAACCAGACAAATGTTTGCTGAACAGAGAGTAAAGTGCAGAGTGGGCGGGGCTTAAATAAAACTTCAAACTCGGTGAAGAAGGATAAATTCAAAGTCCTTGTTTAGGGAAAAATTACAAGTCCGTTTATTGTTTGTATCACAACATAAAAACAGACCTAACGGTACAAAAAAGGGAATCGTTTCAAAGATGTGGAAAAAGAATCTGTTTGTCTCACACGGTGAAAAAACAAAAACACGTAAACTGCAGCTGGAGCTGCACAGAAACACAAACAACAGGCTGGATCATTCATTCACTCTCTCATTTCTCCGTCCTCTTCCTCCTCTTCCACCCCTCTGATGTATAAAACGTTGTTGCATCTGAGAAAACAAAACGCGTTATTTAGCACAAAAAGCTGCAGGAACAACACAGAAGCTGTTTCGTTTCTTTCATCGTTTATTCGCTTTAATTACTAACAAAGTTTAGAGTCTCCGCTGATTTTTGCTTTATGGAGATAAATCTGTTAGTCTGATCATCAGATCCACAGAAACCAACTGGTTCTGCAGCAGAAATGAATGTAAACAAAGACAAAAATGAGGATTTTAGAGATGAAATACCTGACGAGCACTTCGCCGAGATGGCCCGCCAACGCTCCGTCCACATACTCCTCTGTATTTGCCAGCTGTTGGGGACATGATAGATGTATTAAAGAGTCACATGACCATAAATCAGTTGTTTTTGTCCCATTTTCAAAAGGAAATTCTGTGTAAATATCAGGGTTTGACTCATACCTCATCCACAAGAACATCCCAGGTTCAAATGAAAGCCTTTTCCAGGATTTAAAAGCACCTTTAAGTGTTTGCACTGCCTGTTAAAGTTCATCTTTAACAACATTAAATGATAGATTTAAGATGTGAGAAAGACTTTTTTATTTGGACTAAATTATTATACTGATTTAGTCTAATTCTGAGTGGAAAAGAAGGTATTCCTGCTAGAACTGAAACGGTTCCTCGAGCATCTCAAATAATTCGAGTACAAAAAAGCCTCGAGGCTTCGTTTAATTCATGTTTAATTAATTCATGGCTTTGCAATCGCCCGGGGTCATGTTTCACCCGGACCGAAATAAGTGACGCACATACACACTGCACTGAATGCACACGCGAGTAGCGAACGCAACTTAACTTTCTCTTAAGCCATGGCGGACAACGTGGACCCGGTGGAGCGAAAAAGACAGGAAATGTCAAAGATGTGGGACCATTTTTCACGTCGTAAGGCGGAAAACGTACTCCAGTGTAAATACTGTAAAACGGATGTAGCCTACCACACCACCACATCCTCCATGCTGCAACCTGACCAGGAAACATCCACCTGTAAATGTCACTTCTGCAAGCGGACTCGGAGCCTCTACAAGATAATGCATTTTAGCCTGTATTTCTGTATATTCTGCAGATGCTGTGCGACTTTTTCATTTGTAGCACTCAGTTTCAGCTCACACCGTACGTCTGGTAGCAACACGTCGGTCTTAAAATGTGCTAAAAATAGCTGTTTTTACAACACGTCAGACTTTTTACTGTGTTGTTATTGACGTCTGTTGTCCCTCAGGATTGCTGCAGGAGGACGCGGGTATTTATGAGAGGAAAACGAAAGTAAATAAATGTTTTGTGATCAGTATAATTCGACAAAACCACGGCAAACATGCTTTCTCGACAATCCTTGTTATTGTGTGAGAAAATAAAGTGTAGAAATTAAAACGGACGTGTGTTAATAGGGAAACAGCTGGCGAGCCATGATTGCGCATGCGCCGTGAGCGGTTCTGGTTCTGTTTGGGCCGCAGCCACTCGCAGCGCTACTTCAACAGTTATCCTAGTTTTTGTCTGGCTTGCAGGCTCGTAGATTCTCACACCGGAGGAAATTAGCTCAGGTTGTTTACTTATTTTTTGCACAGGCATTTGTTTACTGTGAAGTAAAGTTGAAGTGCTGAAGTTTTGCAAACTGATTTTGAATAAAACTTGAAGAATAACTGGCAATAGCGTACTCATTTTAAGAGGTCTTTCATATTTTATAACATGCTATTTGATATAATGGTTTACAAACACAAAAGGGTCATTTATTAGAGTACTCGATTAATCGATAAAAGATTTGATAGAGTACTCGATTAATCGATAAAAGATTTGATAGAGTACTCGATTAATCGATAAAAGATTTGATAGAGTACTCGATTACAAAAATATTCGATAGCTGCAGGTAGGGCTGCTCAATTAATCGAATTTTAATCACGATTACGATCTGAGTTTTGAACGATTATAAAAAACATAACAAGCCGATTATTTGCTCCTCCCGCTTGCGCTGCCCTAAGTTGCAAATGAAGCGCTCCTCCACAGTGTTGCCAACTTAGCGACTTTGACGCTATTTCTAGCAGCTTTTCAGACCCCCTTCTTGACTTTTTAATCCTAAAAGTACCTAGCGAACATCTCAGAAACATCTCTGGTAACCCTTAGCTACTTTCTGGATAACTGTCGTTGACATTTCCTGCAGGTTAGCTAAACACTCCGCCTGTGCTCCGGACCGTTCTTCACAACATTAGGAAAGGGAATGATGCAGTGATGTGTCGGTCGCTAAAGACAGCTCTCGGAGCCGGCTCCTTGTTGGATTAACCAGAGTGAGTGACACACACACCGTACCTGCGGTCTCCTGAGCAGCTAAAAACAGCTAAATGTGCGCGTGCGGCGTGCTAAACACACGTGCAGCTTGCCCGATTGCTGTGAGACCGGGGTGGGGGGGTGGGGGGTGCAGCTGTGGTCGGGACAATTATTACATTAACTGATGGGCCTGTAAATAAATAGTTTATAAATAAGGTAGAAATAAGTTCCTCACGCTGATAACTAATCTCTCTGAGGACACAGTGCTACAGCACCTTGACACGACTCAATAAATGTTATGTAACATTTTGTGAACATCAATGTATTTGCATTTATTTGTTATAAATGCCACTGTATAATTCTTGCTGTCAGTATTTGCAAGATATTGGTATTTGGGTCTGTACTGGTTAGACTCAAGGTCTATAGCCCTTGGGTCATAGACTATGAGCTATAAGTATACTGGTCTTTTTATCCTGGGAATCAGGAGTTCTTTTAGTGATCATCTTGTTTCTTATTTTTGTCCTGATTGTGCCCTGAGCAGTTTTATGACTGAATAAAAACAAATAAAATCAACATAAATTGAAAAATCGTCCTAAATAATCGTGATCTCAATTTCAGTCACCATAATCGTGATTATTATTTTTGCCATAATCGAGCAGCCCTAGCTGCAGGCCTAATTCCTGCATCTATATTCTTTCCAGTGGAGGTTTATGGATTAGACTTTTAAAAAGCTGTTAGAACTTCATCAACTGCTGTTGAACTGATTTGCATTTCGCTGACAACTGGGTGCATATCCTAGATATTGTTCCCAAATATACATGCAAACATTTGAAAACACACCCTGCTTTGGGAACATTTGTATTTTACTGCTGCTGAAGGATAAATAGGCTGCTTTGTTAATATTAATAAGTAAAATTATAATTACATGAAGTTTCCTTAGACATTTTGGAGCTATGACTTTATTCACTTCAGTCTCTTTAGCAAAAATTCCCTCAAACTGATCAAACAACGCCCCCTGCTGGACACGAAGATAAACACCTTTCAGCAGTCTGACTATGATCTGAAGTTGAACTGATTAAAGAACATCAGTCAGCCCTGGTTCTGCATGTTTTAGTTCCTTACCTGCTCCAACACACCTGATTCAATAGCTTAATTCTTCTGAAGCAGCTCATTATTCGCCTAATGACTCAAATCAGGTGTGTTGAAGCAAAGAAACATAGAAAACAAGCAGGATGATGGGTCTAAAGAGCTGAGTTTTCCTGGGGTACAAATTTAATTTTATCATTTATTTTGATTTGGCTTAACCAAATTTATGATAATAAAGAAGTCTGACACAGATAAAACCACACAATAAAATCATCAAGCAGTAGCAAATCCTGAGCAGGTATACAAATAATTAAATGGTTTATTTTTCCATGTGAGAAGATTCTGTGGTTTGGTTGTTAGAAGGAGAAACGGCACCCACCTGCATGTTCATGTATCCATCCACAGACACCAAGTAGCCTTTATACTCCATACCCCACTTCAGCTTCACCATCACAGGTTTTCCCGTCAGGCCGTTCAGGAAAGGCTTCGGGTTCAGAGGTAAACTCTGTAGAAGAAGAACAGAGAGGTCAGCAAAGCCATTACATCCCACACTACTGAAGAAAATTAAATGCATTTAACGACTACATTTCATGAATTTGTAACGCTGCTGAACAGCAGCATACCCCCAGCCGTCCGTCCTACAACACAGATACTCCTCACTCCAACATGAAGGAAATCCGGATTCAATTAAACGTTTTTGCGTAGAATCCAAACTTTAAATCTACTGCAAAGTAAATCATTTTTATTGACTTTACTAATGAATTACTTAATGGCCAAACAGCTGTTTAACCAATCTAATTTTATTCATAAAAAACGTTTAATGAATCAGCGCAACTGATCTGTGTAATAAAACAAGCTGTTAAATCCTAATAGTGTTATTTTTCTTTAAATTGCATTATTTTGTTCAATCACTATTAAATTTTAATATGTTCTCCCATAACACAAAGGTTAATCCGGGTCAGGTGGTTTAATAAAAAGGTTTAAATGCTTTACTGCTGTTTTATTTACCTGCAGCGTCAGCCTGACGAAGTTTGCAGCCGCAAACGAAACGTTGCAGGCAAATAAAACCTTTCTGTGTTTTAAAAATAACTAAAAGATGGAATTAGAATTTCAACACAGCAAGCACACACCAAAGATGCTCTTAGCTCATTCTGAGTCGCTTGTTTTAAACCGATCATCTCTCTTAAGGCTAGCTACAGGACACCGTGGACTTAAAGGCCTGAGGAGTTAGCTCACATTATAAAGATTAAATAGCCAAAGGTCGAGAGACATATTATTAATATATATTCATTTCCTTATGGAAGCTTTTGATAAACGATCTTAGCGAAATAGTTTGGACTTTATTTTGCCAGGAAGCGAGGGGATGCTAGCGGTTGATGTAGCCTCTGCGGTCTTTTCTCTTGTTTATTAACAGTGATGAACGAGTAGACGGCTTACAACCCAAAGGGAATAAGAAACCGAAGATTTATAACACCAGTTTTGTGTTAATATGTGTTTGAGGGTGTGAAAGGTCTAGGTCGAAGTTATGAATGAAAAGCTAACATGGCTAACGCTAAACAACAAAAATACACTGAATTAAATCCTGATAGTTCATTCGCAAGACGATAAAGATATACAACGTCTTACTCACCATTTTATATCAAATTAAACAGCTTTAATAAGCTAAATCAAAAAAGTAAAATATGTTCGTCTCGATAACGTTTGCAAACCACGAAGCACGCTTTACCGCCGACCGGAAGTACAACTTTCCGACCTGGGCACGAGTTTCCGTGCTTTAAACAGCGCCTCCCAGTGGCCGGATGAGCGAACTGCTACCCAAGTGATTTAGTGTAAAGCTCCAAAAGTTTCCCCTCTTCCTCTCATTTACAGTCACCCATTGAACAGTAAACTGTGAGCTGATAAACGAAACGTGAATTAAACACCTACAATATGTATGCACGATCTCTGGGGTTGATATGTCAGTTGTTTATAGAGTATCTGCTATATGTTCGTGGCACGATACAGAAATAAAGTCCAGTCCAAAAAGTTGTATCTCCTCTACATTCACAAAAGAAAATGGCAAAAAAAATCAGTTATTAAGTCCAGGAAAAACTAGTAATAATTTTCTTCAAACTCGTTTTCATTCTCAGCAACAAGATCATGTCATCTGCCTTGAGTTGAACTCCTGCTCTATTTATGTCATGCAGGATCAGTGACTGATTGAAAACATATCGGTTTAGGAGCTAAACCTGGCACGACTGTCATAACTGGGTCATGCTTGCTCTCTGCAGCTTTGTTTTTCTCCAGGCACAAGAAGCCCGATGTTTAAAAAATGTTTTCTGCTCTGAAGCGTTTGTCTGTTACCAAAAAGTCAGGCAAGTTCAAACCTGCCATGGTGAATAAAACCGAAATCTGACATCATTCAGCAAATGGCTGGGTTTTGTCAGAAAAATTCCTATGAAATTGCTCTGGATCTCTCTCTGCATGTTTGAAATACTTGTTTCTTTACATCACTGAGTATTTTCCCGACCTCACCTTTCCAACGTGTAATTAACCCGTCCATCAGACAGTCTGGTCTCAGTTATGGGATGGAGACGGTACGCGAGGTTTAGAGAAGTGGCCAGTCAGAGGGTGCATGAGTTGTATGAGAACTACTGTTGGCATGAGGCGTAATAAAATCTGTTACAGATAGACAGACCGACTGAACCGATAAAGAAAGCATAATATATTTTTCATGTGTTTAAAAACGTATTTAGAGCTGCAAAATGATGAAGAGACACAAATAAATTTGCAGTGTTGCAAAAACTGTAGTCACAAGAAAGTAACTCGTGCAAAGCAACCAAAAACAAAAGGGAAATTATTTATTAATTAAATATGATTTTAAAATAGCAAAATTAGTCTTACGAGGCTATAAAATAACAAAGATGACATTTTCACCAAATGGTCACAAAGATTAGAAGTTATGAAATAAAAATCATTTAAATTAGTAACAAACAATGAAAAGAAAACTACAATTTATTCTAAAAGACCAATAAAATCAGCAAAAACGACCACAAAGAGACACAAAATTACATAAAAGCGATCAAAGTTACCAGAATGACAACAATCACAACAACAACGTTGCCTCCACAAGTCGAACGGCTTTAGGAAACATCGACCGAAGAAGCTGAAAAAGAGAAAAATCACCAGAAAAAGAGCTGCGACTAAAATGAAGCTTTAATGTTTTCACGTTTGAGGGGTGAGGTGTGTTCTCATCTGCCTGCAGCTGTTGCGTGTTTAGAGCAGCGATCACCAACTCCCTCCCCGAGGGCCGATATCCAGCATGTTTTACTGTTTTCTCTGCTTCAGCACACCTGATTTCAATCGGCAGGTGATTAACCGACTTCTGCAGAGCCCGATGAGCCTCCGAACCGGTCAAGCGTGTTGAAATAGGGAAACAACAAAAACATGCCGGTTCCCGCCTCTCGGGGAAAGGTGACCACTGGCTCAGAGCATCAAATCTAATTTTTATATAAATCATTTCACATTTCAAGTGATTTAAATAATAATTATCGTAGCTTGTCCAGCTTCTTCTGCTGCTTTCCATTCGTTGACAACATCATTCGGAGGAGATCAGCTTTGTTCAGGAGGCGAGTGGGAATTTTCCAGTCTGCTGCCGGATCCAGTCTGAAACTGGACAGCCCTTTGAAGTCTGCAGAGGGGAGCAAATGGAGGGACGCCCGTGGAGTGGATCAGATATGGAGCGTGGAGCTGACAAACTCAGCAGACTGTGTGCAAATGCACTTTTAGCTGTCCGCTGATTACTTCTGTGTATGACCTGCGAGATTCCCATCAGCCTCAGCTGCACTTCTGGTGCAGGCAGATTAGCTGTGTGTGTACACCCCCCCCCTCGGACACACACACACAGATGTGTGTGCTCAGGTAGTGGAAAGGTTGGAAACATGGTTCAGGAGAGCTGAGATTGAACAAAGATGTCTCCTTGGTTCAGAGCAGAACCGCTGACTGATGGAGGACAAACAGAACCGAGTTAACAGGTGAGAAAGTTTAGCTTGGCTCGCTGCTTATTGGACACGGGTCAGAAGCCCAGAAAGCAGGTCAGGGTCCGATTAGAGAGGAGAAAGAACCTTGCGGCGTTCAGAGGAGCTGTACTCAATTAGATGAGAGGAGTTTTCTGACCTTTTGTCACACTCGGCACCAGGGGGCACACTAAAACCTGATCACAGATTACACTTAATCTATGGAAGCTACAGTCAGAGTAGATAACATGACCAAACCTCACTCCTGACTCTTGGTTCTTTCACTCGTCGCTGAGCGCTCATGAGGAAGCTGGACCAGAATCACTGGGTTGTTTCACTGGTTTTATGGACACCAACAATGGTGTCAACAAAGGGCGCAGCGGAGCGGCCAATGGGCGGACCTCGACATGCGTCAGCAGCTCACGCAGCGTCACTTTGTCAGACAATTAATCAATTATGAGCAGTTTGTCCCAAACCAGCTGCTCGTTTAGATGCTGTGGTCAGGAGTTTGACCCAAACTGTTGTGATCATAGGTGGAAATGACTCAACAATGTTTGTTATTAAGTGTCCTTATTTCTACTTTACACCACATTAATGACCCATGGGTCATAATTTATAGCAGAACCACTGAAACACTTTAAAATGAGTGACGCTCTATTGAGAAGAACTTGGAAAAACTGCAAAATCTTTTTTTAACCTTTCACATGTTGTTCTAGGAGGCTTGTGATGCACAAATCAGTGTTTTTTTTTAAATTATGATATTTTAGTAACTTTTGGGGGGCATGTTGTAAAACTGCAACAACGGGCCTGTAGGGTAGCAGAATTTCATTGAAATCACTCACACTCTGAACACATGTAAGTGACAAAAGATTATTTGTACATTACTGCGCATAAAGGCCAACAGAAGTTTACGTATCTACACAATATCAATGGTATAAGAGAAAAAAAAATTTATGAACAATTTATTACAAAAAAGGACTATTTGAACGAGGCTCTATATGGAAATTCTGAAGGAAAAAACACACATAAATGTGCAGGTTTCATTTGTTTGATTCAATTGTGGTAGTCCCAGAAGCAGTTATTTTGCTCTGAAAAACAGAGGCGGACATTGCACTTCTTGCAAAGCGTGTCTGTGTAGCCTTTAGCACAGTTTCTGCACCGTCCTCTGTCGGCTTTGATGGGAAAATGTCCGATCATGTCCTTGCGAACTTCCTTTGGAGGGTGTGCATTTGACTTTTTGGGCATTTTGGCAGCTGGAGAACCTTCATCTGTGAACAGCCTGTTGTGGGAAGTCAATGTGCTCCCCCCTCATTGACACTGGGCTTGAAGAAGGTCGCCCTCGCTTTGGCACTGATACACCTGTGCCAATCAGGAGAAGAGATGATGCCAACTGGGCCTGAAAGTCTCCTGTTTAGCACCTGTTTCTTTGGAATATGCAAGGCATTGCAGTCCCTTTTGTACAGGAGCCTAAGCACTGATCACAACTAGGATAATGGTGTGCTAGAAGATATAAAGGTACCAGCGGCAGGACTTCAGTGGTAACTTGTATTTGAAGCCCCATGGGTTTGGCTTGCCACGCGTGTACTGTTTGATGCTGCTGACTTTCCCCCTGAACGGGATCATCATTTCATCAACAGAGTTATGTTCTTCAGGGACCACCTTTAGGCATTTCTCTCTGAAAGCATCACGCCATGGTCTGAGTTTCCAGAGTTTGTCAGCATTTTGTTCCTTCTCAGACAGTTAGATCGTACACAAAATGTAATGATGTCAACAGAGACTGGAACCTGTTTCGTGACATTACATCTGAGATTGGACTGTATCGTGTGTCTGCTTCCCAGTACATGCAAATTCCAGGCATTTGGACAAGACCATCTTCAGATACATGCCAATCATCTGCTCTATTTCCTTTGTGTTGGTGTGTATAGATGATCCTTTCTTCTGAACACTGTACTGATTAGTGTAATCTGCCAGAGCCTTGATCATGTCCTCTGTCACAAACTTCTGAAAGTACTCCAGTGGTCCGCAGAGGGATTGGACACCATTAGTGACATCCTGACCAGAAAAATCAGTACTGGGACTGATGAACTTCTTTTTCAGCCAGCGATGCCTGTCACGGCGCATGGTCTGGGAATCAGAATGCCCTGCTTCTGTTGGGATGATGTGAACATCAGAAGTTAGTTGGCCATTGGGTAATTTATTTTCCTTGTCCACTTCACAGATAACTTCATTCTCCTCTTCATCATTTGAATCTGATTCAAATGACCTGATGTGGCTTTTCCTGGTTTCAGGCATCCTGAAAGTTACAACAGCAGATTAGTTTCCAGGCCAGGTAATTGCAATGCAAATTAATTTTAGATATGCCACCACAAAAGATTCACACATTCCAGAGATCAGCAGTTGTATCAGTTGCTCCCTTTGTTATGCTATGAGCACTTACACCCCTACTTCCCAGAACATTATCACCTTATCATTCAAAAAGCAGCTATTTGGGCAGCCAAGCAGAACCCAGGAAAAAGAAAACCAGCACTATAGTATATTGCAAATTATGCCACATAAATCTTTCAATCCTAATTACTAGTATAATGCAATACATTATATTAGTACAACAAAAAGTTGTATTTTGATCCAACATCAAATTTGTAAAATATGTCAAAATTGTTGCAACATTAAAAACTGATCAAAAACATTACAAACTGATGAAACAGTAATATTTATCCTAGTATTTCCACCATCAAACAAGTGGAACGTAAACTCCCTCAAGTGCAGGGTGCACACCTAACTTTTGCTACTCCTAAGACCCACTGTTGTAAAATTACAACATGGACAAAACAAGCTCAAAATCTCACAACATCAGTATATTCAATGATGTCATAAAATCTGCATGATCTACACACATCAATTATCACAGAAAAAATACTTAAAGCTTTTTACTTACTTGAGTCTTGATTTCTCCTGTTGAAAACTACAAGATGATGTTCTCCAAAGCAGGCTCTCAGGTTGTTTGACTTCACAGCCAGATAAACGGGCCTATTTACACATTTTAACAACCAATAGTGTTGCAGAACTGAACAATAGGACCCATTAGCAATGTAAATGTGGTTTTAAAAAGAAAAAAATATGGGGAAGGTTTATTTTTGTAGACTTAAATCTGATGTTGTAATATTACAACCGTGGGTCTCTGGGGGTTAAGAAACACATCATTCTCCAATCTGGATATAGTAACATACAACTTAAATTCACTGAAACGGAACTTCAAGAATATTTATCTAATATACCCGACTGAGTGGTGCACAATGGCATGAACATATCAGCCAAAATGAAATGAGTGAAGGGAATTTTCAGCCATTTTGATGCATTTTTCTTTGATTCGCAAGCCTAAACCAAAGCTCCAAAATACAGATATTTAAAGAGCAAGTCACCCCCTACCAGAGTATTACTCCACTCCCACTTCCTGTTTGAAAATGCAACAAATGCTGTTGCCTAGAAGACCGAGAGGGCGGAGCCACTAACAATACACACACTCAGGTTCACAACGACATTGTGACATCATATGGTACCAGCTAACATTCTAGGATACCTCTTAGCCAATAGCGATGGCAGATTTAAATTCAAATGCAGAGTTTTTACCTGACGACGGCACAACACTGACAGTTTTAGGCAGAAATTTTAAATTTTAACTAAGATGCACTAAAGTGCAAAACTATTGACTACACGTGTCTGCAGCACGATTAGACACACATTTATATAGTTTATCAGAATAAAAGTTGAATTGGGGGTGACTTGCTCTTTAAAGCAGCACATAAAATGACGTTGCTGTTGGGATTCTGTGTTTATTTACAAACATAAATATCAGCAGCAGCAGCAGCTAAATATGGCACTTTCTGTGCTTTCCATAAGGGTTTTGCTAATTTTACCTAATTATCTGTACAATGTAAAACTGCCGTTTTCAGGTGCTGGCCAGCTGCTTGGGGCCCATTTGAACATTTTAGAAGCTAAAAAAGGCCCGGTTTATTAGCTCATTAGCCCATTTCAATGCAAACTCAATTCCTTTGAACAGAGACTGTTCAGGAAGCTTTCAGCCTGAGAAACAGAGTATCCAAGTCTCGCACGCCAAAATGGCAGAAAGTATTTCAACCATTCAAACATGAAATCTGAAATTATATGTTTTCAAAATGGAACCATTTATTGTCTAATTAATATAAAACAATAACTGTGTAATTAAATACCAATATACTGGGATAAAGGAATAAAAACGGCCCTTGCCACCTGCAGATCCTCCACCAGAGGGCAGTAGACAACTACAGGACGGGATAGGACAGGTTTCTGAAGAAGGTACTAATCCTGATGCACCATCTGGATGCTTAAAGGACAGAAGTGGTCTGTTGTGGATTTGTGATGACGTGATGACTTTTATATATTTCTGAAAAATCATACATATTTCCTGAAAGGGGAAAACTCTGGATAGCAACTTTAAGTACCCATCTGGTCATGTTGCAAAGAAAAGTCTAAGTCTGAATCGTTCAAAGTTGATGCCAACACCATTTCAAATGAGTGCCGCTCCTGGGCCAACAGGGGTAGCGCCAGGTGGCAACCCCACCCCGCCCCGCCCCGCCCGCCACCACCACCACCACCCGATGACTCGCCTCGCCCCCGCTCCGACGGGGAACAGGTGAACAGTTCCTTTTGGATCAGCAACTCCTTCAGCCTGGTTTATACTTTTCCATCTGCGGAGGTGCGGAGACTCAACTTCATTTTCTGTGGTTGCAAGGTCGGATGGAGTAAAGACCAAGTTAAAAGCGACGGAGACCACAAGCCGCTAGCCCTGCCCACCTCTCCACAAACATATGGCGCTTCCACATCTGGCCCGGCACGGACTGGACTGGTAGCTTTTAGTGTTCATATCTAGGTAGCCTTATAGTTTTCCGCGCTCAACCACGTCGGTTTTTCAGCCCACATACAAGGAGGTCTGCTTTGGGCTGAACAGGTCCAACACACCCACCACCAACTGATTGGCCGGCACAAATGCACGCCTACCGTTAGGGGGAGCCTCCGATTGGTGTATCATTCTGGATACTGAAGATTGGTCGCCTCTGATTGAAGATGCGTCTCTCCTCACACCCACACACACACACACACACACGCGCACACACACACACACACACACGCGCACACACACACACACACACGCACACACGCACGCGCGCACACACACACACACACACACACACACACACACACACACACACACAGAGAGACAGCACTGCCATGCCTTGAGCTGCATGGCTCAGTGGCGTGTCCAGATCTTTTAAAATGGGGTGGCCCAGGTGAGGCACAACTTTGTGCATGGGTGGCACCAATGGTTATGCTTTTTTGTTTTACCCCCCAAGTCTTTTGTGGACAATGAAAAGCCTGTTTAAAGGTAAATTAGTGTGGTGGCACCTGGGGTGGCCAATCAGATTCCAAGGGTGGCATGTGCTACCCCAGGCCACTCCCTGGACACGCCCCTGGCATGGCCGTGTTTAAGGGAGACACCGTGGGCTTTTCCTTGCCCTGCCCACGCGCTCGGAGATTTCCCTGTTCTTGAGAAGTGTGTGTGAACAAAACCTACCGGTGCGACCTGGACCAACACCACCCAATGCTGGCCCAGATGTGAAAGCCCAATAGAGTGCTGTGATTCGTTGGACATAATATTGCCCAGGCCAATGGTGGACCTACTGAGGCTATGGCGCATGGCTAGACTGACCTGCAACATCTTTTGCTACTGCTAAGGTTCGTCTAGATTTCTATGCTAGCAGCAGAGACCCATATGACAGCGTAAAAGAGAGTTTTGCACAATACGTCTAATTTAATTTCTAATATTAAATAGTGAATATTTAACTATCTGCCATAGATTGCTGAAGACATGCTTGTTATTGGCTAAATTAAATCCCTGGGCAGCTAAAAACATTTGATCTTTTTAAATGAATGTAAAAAATAAAACTTTTTAAAATGTGAAGAAAACTGATGCAGCTTTAGTTCATTCTACAAAGGAAAGCGGAGCCTCTGGGGGTTGTGGTCCTAAGGTCTGGTTTGTTTCTTTAAGTGTGGGGGTGGTGGCGGGGGGGCGGAGCTGGCGCGCGGCGCGTTCGCTACATATCCTCTGTGCGTCTCTGCGCTCGTCAGAAATAGATGTGCAGGCGGAGGACTCAGTGCAGGGAGATGAACCCCGCTGCAGGTCCCGGAGCAGACGAGCCCAGCACAGCCGGTCAGCTCCTCTCCACCTCGGCTGCTCTCCTCCTCTCTCAGCTGGACGTCACACGCCGTCCGGGTCCGGGATCATGCTGTCCTGCTTTTTATCGCCTCACCGGATCGCTGCGGAGTGAAAGAGAGAGTCCGCACCGGATCTAAACTCTGCGCACTTCTTCTCTTCATTTAGAGATTTCCGCACACCTGACGCAGTTTTCTCATATCCAGTGTTGCTGCATCATCAAGGAGAAATGCTGATTCTAGTTGTGATTGGTCTGGCCGTGCTGTCAGATGCAGGTAAGAGATAATCACAGAAGCTTCTTGTTTTGGTCTAAAACAACAAAAAACATCATCTGTTCACACGATCCATCCTTGAAGCTGGGTTTATTTTAACTGAGTGGGATCGTAACTAAAAGTTTGGGTTCTCTGGTGACCTTTCCACTTTCTATTCACTCTACCGGGTTTTATTATGATTTATGCTGTTGTGAAAACATCCAGGGTACGGTTCTGGGTGCAAAGGTCCACCCATTCATGAGCTTTTCCAGCAGAAAACGAACCAGTTGCAGGTTTAGGATCATAAATCCACAGCTGAACATGACACTGTGGCCCTGGAGGGGAATGCTGCTCATCCTCCTCTAAAGCTGCCAAACCTTTTCTGTGTCAGAGTCCATGCTGGCTGCGGTCCGAAGCAGGCAGGTGCACAATGCCTCCTCTATCCGTTTTGCGTAACGTTTCCGATGGAGGTAAATCACTTGACTTGTGTAAACAGGCACAGTGAGTCATCCCAGCTCAGACGCTGGTTTCTTCTGAAGGCTGGTCACTAATCTGATTAAACGGAGCAGAAGAGTGGTTTTCTTAACTCAAAGTAACGTCGTGACCGTTTGTGGATGGGTTCAGGTGTAACGGGCCAAACCTACAAAGCTGTTAAGTCGAGATTTTGTCCATCCTTCTATTGCAGGCCTGCCTGTGGAGGTGTTTAGAGCAGGTGTGGCCCCCCGCTGTGAGAGCCGGGCCTGCAACCCTCGCATGGGTAACCTGGCTCTGGGTCGGCAGGTGTTGACCCAGACCGTCTGCGGCAACAACGCCACCGAGCTCTACTGCTCCTACTTAGACCCCAACCCCAACACGGCCTGTGGCGCCCCCAAATGCGCCAAATGCAACGCTGGTCTGCCCCCCTTGGCCCACCCGGCCGGGGCCATGTCTGACTCCTCCTTCCGCCACCCGAACACCTGGTGGCAGTCCGCTGAAGGCGTGGCGTCTGAAACTCTGCAGCTGGACCTGGAGACAGAGTTCTACTTCACGCATCTCATCGTGGTGTTTCGCTCGCCACGGCCCTCTGCCATGACCCTGGAGCGCTCGCAGGACTTTGGGCGAACGTGGAAGACGTTGCAGTATTACGCCAGCAACTGTAGCACCGCCTTCGGACTGGAGGAGGGAAAGGCAGGTGTGGGCCGGGATGGAGCCACCTGCACCTCCAAGTACTCGGGGGCCTACCCCTGCAGCCGAGGCGAGGTGAGGAGAAGCTTTGTCTTTCATTTGGGTGATTGCAATCCGCTTGATTTATGAAGGTTTTTATTATTTACAGAGAGGAACTGTAGTGTGTAGAGGCAATTTTATGTTTCTTATAGCTCCATCCCTTCGTGCTACTTTGCCCCTGGTAGTCGTAAAGTTCCACTTTTGTTAGCAAACACAGCTGAGGAGAAACTGAACCGGCTCTGATTGGTGATTAGACTGTCAGCATGGGAGGCAGATGCTCAGCCGTTCCAGGCTGCTCCTAACAGGGCAGGCGTTATGCAAATGTGTCTCATGGTGATAATAACCCCTTCAGTGTGGACTTTGGGCTTTGCAACATTCCAGAGATTTAGCGCACACACACACTGATGGAAAAAGGGGAAAACCCCAAAAGGATAACAAAACCACTTTAAGAGTAAAAAGTTTGTGAATCTCATGAAAACACACAGAATCTCTAGAGTTCAGCTTTCTCTCTGTGTCGTGTTGAAAGGAGCAGTTTAGACGCTTGGAGTGTGTTTCTGAGGAAGAATTATGAATAATTATCCTAGATGGCTCCTCAAACTTTAATAGCATCTTCTTTCGTAAACGTCTACACCCACAAATGTTACATCACACGTTATTTAAATGTAAATCTGAAATGCAACAGTGAGTTCTGGGATCACACAAAATCGGACAATTTTTTTTATTATTTTTGCCGATTTTAACCACGTTCATCAAAATATAAAATAATTCATCCTCAAGGTTCAAACAGTGCTGTTTCATCCGGTGCTTACAAGGTCTGAAACTGGAGCTTTTAAAGAGCAAGTCACCCCAGATCTACTTTATTTTCTGATAAACTTTATAAGTGCGTGTCTAATCGTGCTGCAGACGCGTGTCGTCAATAGTTTTGTATTTTAGTTAAAATTAAAATTGTCTGCCTAAAACTGTCAGTGTTGTGCCGTTGTCAGGTAAAAACTCTGCATTTGAATTTAAATCTGCCATCGCTATTGGCTAAGAGGTACCCTAGAACGTTAGCTGGTACCATATGATGTCACAATGTCGTTGTGAGCCTTTGTGTGTTTTTGTTAGCGGCTCCGCCCTCTCGGTTTGCTAGGCAACAGCATTTGATGCATTTTTCAAACAGGAAGTGGGAGTGGAGTTAGACTCTGGTAGGGGGTGACTTGCTCTTTAAACATGTTTCGCGCATCAATACCGCGTGAATGCCGCCATCTTTAAACAGCTGCTGTCTCCTAAACTTGGATGAACTTTATTCAAACATTATTCAGAAACTTTCCCACCAAAAAGTGATTTTCTCATTAGCATTAAGGGATTCCTGGTGGTCCGGAGCCCAGGATGCACTGGAAGAGCCACGTCTCACTTGAGGCTAAATTTGAGAGGTCGTATCTGTTTGACGATGTCAGCGATGCACTTTGGATTTCTCGTCTATTTCTCCAAACAGACAGAAACGCACTTAAATGACAGACAGGCTCTAAAAACGACCCCAAAGCTTTACTTTGCTTACGATAATTTTCCACATATCTGGATTCATTCAGTGACTGTCACCGGAGCAAGGAATCCTGGCCCAGATGTGGGTTGTCTGGACACCTCCTGGTTGCGCTGAACGGAATATCGGCTGATCTGATGTAAATCAGGCGCCGAGTTCCCACTTTTCCTCCTCTTCAAACACATTCGCCTCTCTCAGGAAGCAGGTGGAACGTTGTTCCGATCCACACCTGTGAGGGAATGCTGGAGGGATGACAGCATTTCCTGTCCGGTGTTTTCTTCTCTTTATGAATAAAACGTGCTACTGGCTGATGTTTCACTGCCAGCCCTACTCGCAGAATAAAGGCTGTACTCTGTAGAAAAGTCACGCATCACGCGTGAGGCATGGAGAGCAGAACTGGGCGTAGAGAGCTCCGTGGGCGTGTGATGGAGTGTTTAATACGCCGACTTTGACTGCAGAAGAGAGGGCTTCCTGGTGTCCACTGATGTTTAATTGAAACGGTGTGTGTTGGGGAGCTGCTCAGCAGATGTGTGTGGGGAAACGTGCACGGTGCTGCTCTGGTGTCGCTCTAGTAATCATGTTCACACTCCGCTGCAGCTGCAACAGCTGTCTGAGCGCTTTCCTGCTTGTTTGCGTCTAACGTGCTACAGAACCACTTTCCTTCGCTTTATCTGCACGCGTTAGAAACTAGCGTCACTTTGGCATCCCGCGTTATGCAGGAGCCTAGCCATCACCCCGTAACACCCCCTCCTCCACGCACAGCGGTTGACCCCGAGGTTAAACGAGGTCAGCAGTGTTCTGACAAACCAGCTGCAGTCGCCCGTGTATTTAAAGTTAAATCGGCCGCACGGCAAGAGCAACTGGAGAACATGCATCTGCTGGTTCAGGGTTTAAAGCTAAAACACCGCCTTGCAGGACTACCTGGTGATGTTGAACATTTTAGTCCGCTCTAGTAGAGTTGTCCTCCTCTGGAGGCTCAGGGTGTGTGCATTTACTGTATCTGCTATGCACTGTGCACACGTAGTAAGTGTCATTTCATTTTAGGCAGCAGATGCTTCACATTAATTCAAGTATTTTGGGGCTGCATGGTGGTGCAGATGTTAATGCCATCCAAAAGGTTGTAGGTTCAACTCCCCCTTGCAGCCTTACTGCATGGAATTGGCATGTTCTCCCCATGGATGCAGGGCTTTCCTCCCACAGACCAAAATACTGCATGTTCAAGTCGGTTTGAGACTCTAAATTGTCCCTGGGTGCGAGTCTGTGACTGGTTGTGAGTCCCTGTGATGGACTGGAGACCTACCCATGTGACCCCTGCCTCTCACCCAATGCCTGCAGGAGATGGACACCAGCTGCCTGTGAGCAATAATCAGTTTAGAAAATATGTGAGTGAGTGAAGTTGTTCGTCATTTGAACAAACCTTGGTCTGTTAAGCCCGGTTTACACGGCAGCATTTTAAAACCGTCTGATCACTTTCAAATCACTAGAGCCCACACACGTGACCATAAAAATCTTGGATATTACAGGGATGGTCCTACAGTGTGTGGTGTGTGGCAACGCAGCAAAAGCTGCACACGAACGTTCCCCCGTTCAGACAGGAAATCTCGTAACACACCACACACAGTAGAAATATCTGATGTCTTTCTGTAAGATTGTGGTGGCGGGAGGAGTGGGTCAAAAATCGCTACGGGCCTTACATCGATAACGATAACTATCAGCCAAAGCTTCAGTGTTTCATTGTTACCCACTAGATGTGAATGGGATGGAGCCACAGCAGCCCGACAGGATCAGATGTTTAAATGATGTCAGTCTCAAAATGCTTTCTTTGTTTCTGCATCCTCAAACTCCTGGTTGATGTTATGGATCTCATATCTGACCTGTATTACTTTAAAAAATATAAAGAAAGTAAAGAGCCAGTTTATTGATCTCATTTCTGCCGTCCGCCATGGTGTTCGTTGGAAACAACACGACTGGGCCGCCTCGCCACAAGCAGGTTGCAGGTTCGAATCCCGGCTGCAGCCTTTCTGTGTGGCGTTAGCATGTTCTCTCCACGCATCATGTGGACTATAATAAATGATGGTTTGATGTAAGACATTTGCTCACTGAGACACGGTGTGCTCTTTGTGCACGTTAGGCTGCACGAGAGCTTCTGTGATCAGATAAGAGGGGGGGGGGGTAGCTGGGAGCGATTACAGCGAGCAGGTATTCTCAGCTTTCTGCTTCTCCTCTTTCTCTGGAAAACATGAAAGCGTGTCATCTCATGTGTTCACCTGTGATGTGGGGAAAAGGTGATGTGAGAGGGAGAGAAGTATTCAGGGCTGTTAGTCTTATTTATGAGGTCAGCAGGGCCACAAGACTGTGTTTGTTACAGTCTGGCCTCCTGAGGCGAGACAAAGAGGCAGACCCGTCTGGTGTACGCACGCACACACACACACACACACACACACACACACACACACACACACACACACACACACACACACACACACACACACACACACACACACACACACGCTCTTCCTCTTTCCTGCACGTCCTCAAACACTTACTGGTCCGTGCCTTTCTCAGATGAACACATACAATCTGTCTGAAGGGAAGGAAGTGCAGTTGCTCTGATGAATGTTGGTACTGTTGGCTAGACCCCCCCCCCCCCCCCTCTGTTTCCCTATCCACCTTTCTACTCCCATCAATGCCCATTGTGCCTGTTTACCAGATTACAGTCCACAGCGCTTTGATGGAATTAGGCCTGTTAAAGCTGGGCTTGCTTTATTTTGCAGCCTGAAACAGGAAGAAAGATATTCAGTGTCCCACGGTGAACTCAGCACCTCGGGCTGCGCTGAGCCTGAAATCTGCAGCATTTTTTAATGGCAGGTGTGAAACCTTTTCATCTCCAATAAGCTCTTTGAATGAAGCAGACCTATTTGGCCTCAGATCTTTTCAGCCTCCCAACAATGACATTAATGGTTAATATCTCGACACTAAATCTTCTCTTTTGACCGGGAAAGGAAGGAAAGAAGCTCGAATAAAAACATGTAGCCACTGCTGTGACTGCAAGGTTTTATTTGATTCTTGAAACTAGGCTTGACTTTGTTTTACCCAGATGTTTTGTTTCTTAGACATATTTTCAGATCAAGATCCTGTTCCGCCCACACACAGCTCGACGGGTCCAACAGCACCACTGATCAGCTGCATATCAATCATCTTTCGAAGCTGAGGCCCAGCTCACCCAGAGCAGATTTTTGACCCAATTCCCTCCTGAAGACAACTGTCCCTCCGTGTGTGGTGTGTTACAAGTAGAGCCCTGCACGGGCCTAAAATCTGAGCCCGTGTCCGGCCCGGACCGAAAAGGTTTTCAGGATTCTCTGGCCCGACCCGAGCCTGAGCCCGACTTGTTTTTAACCAACTAAATGAAAACAAAGTGCATCAATCCTGACCAATGTGTTAAAAGACGTGCAGGATCCGATCAATTTGTTTTTCCCTCGTTTACCGTCACAGAGATGACGGCGCACTGGCTCTGGTG